CCGCCCGCCCCTCCCCACGCCTGCAGCGGTGCCTGGGGTTGCTGTGCCCCCAGTGCAGGACCCGGCCCTGAGCCTTGCAGACCCTCACCCAGTGGCCTGGGCCCATCGCCCCAGCCTGGCCAGGGCCCTCTGCAGGGCCCCCCTGCCCTCCAGCAGATCAATGCTCCCACCCAACGGGGTGTTGGCTCCAAACTGACTGGGGGTGCGCTCGATCCCCAAGCCCAGATCATTGATAAAGACATTTAACAGAAATGGCCCCAACACTGAGCCCTGGGGAACACCACTCGTGACCGGCCACCAACTGGATTTAACTCCACTCACCACCACTCTCTGGGCCCGGCCATCCAGCCAGGCTTTTACCCAGCAAAGCATATGCCCGTCCAAGCCATGAGCAGCCAGTTTCTCCAGGACAAACTGTAGGAAACGGTGTCAAAGGCCTTACTAAAGTCCAGGTAATTGAGGTGATCCTTGCACCCCGCAGAAGCAGCCTGCCACCCCAAGCTCATGTCGTCCCCAGCCCTGCAAGCTGCTTTGTCCTGCCTGGGGACTACATGGGACAGGGCTGGACTCATGGATCTGAGGTGCTGAGCAGCAAGACGGGGACTCCGTCAGCAGCACCCCTCTGCTGAGTCTTTTCCCTTTGCGTGTAGAGCATTGCATTGCCAAGCAGCTTCAGAGCTGCAGTGATGGGCTTGAAAGGGCAGCGTACGCTTTCCAGAGCCTTTGGGAGCCCAGTGGGGTGTGTTGTGGGCAACAGGACGTTAAATTTGCAGAGATGGTTTAGTTTGGGAATTCTATAGACAGTGAGAAAATTCACGTGTTGCAGCTAAACAGCCTCTGGATCTAATGACATTATTTAAAAACATTTTAAATGCACAACAACATAAGGCAAAGGTGAACCTCCTCAGGAGGTGGACTACTTCTGTCCAGTATAACAAGTGCCATGGCCTCCGCAAAACCCCTGAAAAATGACAGCACCCTTTCAGCTAATTCAGAAACCAGGGGAACTGGAGAATGATACAACTAATTGAAGATTTCTGAGGTGTCTATGGCAAGCTGTGCCCATGGGATTCAAACAAAAAGCAGACACTAATTATGGGCACAATTACTGAGCCTGGGCTGCAGCACAGCCCTCAGCGAGTATTTTCTGAGGTCACACAGAGATACTAGAAGCAGGCCGTTCTGCAAAAGCCGCCAGGAGTTGTTTAGTGTACGTCTGCGTTAATTAATGAAGTACTTCACAGAAGCACTGCAGGAGCTTGAAGTCCAGGGGCAGCAAAGTCTTACAGACACACCATCAGCCAGAATGAGGAAACGTGTCTTGGTCGGATCCTCCCTGTGTTCCTTGTTCCTAATTCTGTGACTTGTGCAAATGAGACTGATCTCTTGCTTTCAGCATTCCTGAGAGTCTATTTCTTCTCTGGAAGTTGGGAAATCATAGATGATTGGAAGACACTGTTCCAAGGTTCAGAAGTTAGCTAATCAGTGACATGTTTATTTAAACAATTATTGGAAACCATCACTTGGTGAACAAAAAGTAAAGGGAAGCAAAGCATTTGGGACATTCAGTTTCATTATTTGCTTACTGCAGCTGCTCCTTCTCAGTCCGCTGAAGCTTCCACTTAGAAGATGATACACAGGAGAAGAGTTCCCAGGCATCCCAAGGAGGAATGAACTCAAGTGCAGACGTGGGCCACGCTCCATCTCTACCGGGTCAGTCTCGGAGCAGACCGGAGGGCCTGACCTGCTTCCCATGAACCCAGGCTGCTGTGCCGGATGGAGAGGTGTCCCCAGACCTCAGCGAGGCTCACGGAGCGAGGACGCGCTGCCAGGCCGTGTGCCACGGCTGTGCGGGACCTGCCGGGACGCTGTGCGGTGAGGTGGGGGGTGCGGAGGACCGAGCCAGGCTGCGGAGCATCCCCAGCGGGCTGCTCAGACACTGCTCTGCCGGCGTTTGTCCACCTCTCCATGGAGGCAAACTCCCTTGCTGCCTCGGCAGGCGTTACCTGAAAATTGTCTCGCTTCGAATCACAGTGGGACTTGCAGAGTGCTAGCGGGCGTGGGAGTCCTGCCTTTCTGGAGCCAAAGCTGTAGGGGAAGAAAGGGATGTGCATGGGTGTCTTCCTTTGTCCAAGCGCCAAAAAGAAACTGATGCCCACGTTCTCCCTCGCTGAGCAGCACGGCTTTCACCAGTCACTCTGTGGTGAAGTCTGTGGGCCACAGGCTCACCGTCTGTGCCCTTCACGCCCTCCCTGCAGTTTGTACAGGTTACTTCTTCTCCCTAAACGTCTTTTCTCTTGCAGGAGGACGACAGAGTTCCCAGCCCTGGAGCAGTAACCCTGAGCGAAGCGAGAAAGCTGCGAACCCCGGGGATCTCTCAGCTCGCAGGCTGTCTCAGTCCTCACACAGCTTCGCCCCAGTGCTCCCAGTGTCCAGCTGCCTTGGGGCTGGCACGTAAGGAAGAGGGGAGCCAAGGTCTCTCTGATGTCCAGGGCTCTCGTAAGCCACAGCACTGCTCTGCCTGCTCCTTCTCACAGCAGTGCTACCGGCTGCCGAGCAAGAGAGAGACGTGCCGGTGCCTGGTAAGGGACAGGGCACACCTCCAGAGCGAAGCTTTTGGGTAAAGCCGGGAAGCAAGGCCTGGGAGAAAAGACATCATTTTACTGGTTAAATCAGTCTTCTGTTTTACCTCCAAAACTCTTGTTGTCTCAGCTGATGGGAGCTCTGTTGTATTAACAGAGTGTGGGTCTGAAATTGTTACAAATCGGGAAATAAATAAACCACGTCCTATGTTTCAAAACTTGCTTGTGAGCCCCTCTGAGCACGCGTACGTGAGAGGTGCATTTGGAGGCAACCCAGCCTGCACGGGTCCCGCAGCGGGGCAGGCATGGAGCGCGTTCTGCCAGCCTGAACTGATGTGAGCCAAGATTTTATCAGGAATTGTTGGTGCACTTGTTGGCACATCTGCAAATGTGCAGGGAGCCAAGTGCCACAAATGCAAAAATGAGCTGACCCACCTCTCTTGAGGAAATGCGCTGTCTTCGGGAGTTCTTGGCATCATCCTGTTTAAAGTACTTTCTGTTTTTTTTTTTCTGAATCTTTTTCATTCTTGCTGAGAAAAGGATTATGAAATTTTACAATGCAGTAATAAACTATTATTATTTATTAAATAAGAAGGCCCTGTAAAAAATAGAAGGAGAATTCAATCCAGATGCTATCTGTTGCAAGGGCATTTGAAATTCCAGATGTTGGTAGTAAAATGTGGTCTCTAATTCATGCTCTTAGAGACAGAAAATGCTCCTGGCTGGGTAACCTGGCCCTGCTTAGTGCGGCCGTGTGTTTTTCCACAGGCTGGCCTGTGTTTAGAAGCAGCCGCAGTATCTAACTGTAGGGTTCAACTTTATCCCTTTGCTGAACATACTTTTGTGCATTTTTATGGCTAAGAGCGAGATTGGAAGCACATCAAATCAATGTTGTACTTGTTTTATGAAGGTAATAAACCAACGGCTTGCAGAACGGGGCAGCCGGGTGTGCCGCGGAGCAAAGGGCTCGGGAGCCCTTGGGTGCAGGCACTTGCACAGATGCCAGTGGCCAGTGTCGGAAGAAGAATAACGGCAGCATGTTCAGGGCGCGTCTGTCCCCCGCTATTCACCGCCTGTTTCCTTTGTGTGCCTCAAGCGAGCCTTTGTCTCGAGGTGCCATTTCATGTTTGGTACGACCACTGGTGCTCTGGCAGCCCAGAGGGATGCTGATGCCTTTTCAGTCCCAGACCAGCCGAAATGTCTCTCCCCCCACGGTGTGAGACGGCCTTTCCTGGCTCAGGGCCGCAGACCTCAAGACGGCTGCGACAAGAAAATCACTTGATCATATTTACCTTCAGTGACGGTGGCC